AGCGGCCACCAATCACGGCGTCCCGGACCCTCCTCCACCACCCCTTCAGCCAATAGTGGCGCTCGTTCGGCCGCGGCCCAGCCTTCCAGCGCCGGCTGAGTTCCCCAGGCCGCCTGGGGAGGTGGCAGCTTGCGGGCGCCGGGTGCTGCGGAAAGGAGGGAGGCCCCTGAACACACCCGCTGCCTCTGCGCGCTGGTCGACGCTGCTCCGAGCGAGACATCGCCCGTGGCTCCGAGGCGGGGACGCCTTTTTGTCGCGGCTTGAATTTACGACGCTTCTGAGCCGCCACTATTCTTCAGGAGCCGTGGGTCACTCCAACAACGCATGTCGGTTGTGCGGGCAGGAAGAAAAACGAGCCAGCAGCCAGAGCCTAAAGAAAACTATTTTCCACCGGGAGTTGCCACAGTGTGTTGTTGGAGGGCAGAGTTGGTTTTTGTTTGTTTTTTAATTTTTATTTTAGACCTCACCCCTGATAAAATCTGAGTATAGAAGTTTTTGCAGTTGACCAAGAGGCCGGCGTGGTCTAGTGCTTCTTGTATTAATCCTCTCTGAGGCCTTCTGTGTTTCTGCTGAATCAAAACACCTTACAGGGCACTAGGCCCTCGCTCAGGTTGCCTGGCCTATCTCGTGTCTTATCTCATTCATTCATTAAACATACATTGTGCACCGGATATCCGATATTCTGCCTGTCCCTTCTCCCAGGCAACCAGACGCCATCCCCATCCTCATCTTAAAGGTGTGTGTGTGTGTGTGTAGGTAACCTCAGTAGTAGCTGTCAATAATTAAAGGTCTACAACTCGTCATCCGTTCACTAATCTTTGCCTATATATCACCTGGCCTGCTCCTTTGTTTGGTTTCATTTTAGGTTTTTGCCATAGGGTGCTTATGCTCTAGAAACAGAGAGATGCAGTGAGAGGGAAAGTGAGAAATCACTCCCCAGGGGGATGGCCATCCTGCTATCCTCCATTCTTCTGGGATTTTGGGCAGACGTGCATAGGGGCCTTTGCTCTCCAGAGAAACGGTGAGAGGGAATGATAAGGCACACACACAGGCACACACACACACACCGGCCGGGGAGTTGCCATGCTTCAATCCCTTTTCCTCCATTCTTCTGGGATTTGGGGCATGCATGCACACTTGCCTGGCGGGATTTTCAAGCTGTCGCAGGGTAGAGACTCAAACTGTGGTTGGCCATGTGGGAGTCCAGCACCTTAACCACCACGTACCTGCTGGCTCTGGCTTGATTTCCGATGAAGTAGGAAGGATAGCAAAGTAGAAGGCTAAAGTGTGTGTGGGGGGGTCCTACCAGTCCTTCACCAAGGCCAGCTCTGGTAAAACCATGAGTAGTTGGGTCCTGCCCCATGTTGCAGGAGGATGTGCAGCCTTCCATCTTTGTGTCTTGGTAATATACCTCACCTCTTGGGCCTCATTCCCTGATCCCAGCTTACTGATCTGGGAATTCATCTGGGAGAGGACATTGGAGCATTATTATCTAGCCTATGCTTAGTTGCTGGGAATTTCGGAGTATGGGGTAGAGGTGAGGTGTGATATGAAGGTCAGTTGTGTATTTTTGTTTATGAATGACAGAAACCAAAACTGGCTAATTTAAGCAAAAGGAAACTTAGCAGACAAATTTTGGAAACTCAGAGAATTAGTGGAGACCAGGTCTAGAAAAGAATAAGGAGAGGAAATATTGGCTGACCAAGAACAAAAATAAATAAAAACAAAATGAGCAAAAACTAAAATCAAATACCTCTTAAACAGAGAAACTGCTCTAAAAATAAGTTATGTTTTTTGGTTTTGCAAGGATATTTCTTTCTTTTTTATTCTTTTTTTGGTAAGGATATATACACATATATGTGTGTGTATATATATTTTAATCTATATTAAATTATTAAATTTAAAATCTATGCAGGTAAAATAGTTTGTAGAAGCACAGAGAACATCTGGAAGGTTTTATTTATTTAACATCTTTTTAATAATATTTATTTTCGGGACCAGCAGGTGGCAAGGTGATTAAGGCACTGGATACTCCCACATGGCTAACCACGGTTCAAGTCCTGGGTCTTGGCTGACCACGGTTCAAGTCCTGGGTCTGGTGTCTTTCTCTCTCTGTCTCTCTCTCTCTCTTTGGTCAAATTAAAATAAAGAATGAACAAATAAAATTAAATAAATAATTCTTTACAAAAAAGAAAAAATAATATTTGTTTTCTATTGTCAATATTCTTCACTTACAGAAATGTTGAAGGTTTAATATTGACAGGATTACTTCTTTTCTTTTTTACAGATTTTTTTTTTTTTTTTTGCTATAGTGCATGTGCTTGCTGGAGACACAGAGAGTAACAGAGACAGAAGGGAGAAATCACCCCCAGACGGGATGGCCAAGCCATAATCCCTTCTCCTCCATTTGCCTCTTGAGATTTTGGGCACACACTCATGCACACGTATCTAGCATGAGTTTCAGGTCATTGAGTCCAGGACTCAAACTGCAGTTGACCATGTGGGAGTCCAGCACCTAAACCACTACACCACCTGCAGACCCCTTGATAGGAGTATTTCTTTCTTAAAAAACAAAACAAAACAAAAAAAACAACTAGAGAGATTTTTGCTCTAAGGCACATATGCTTGTCAGAGAGACAGAGAGTGATAGACAGAATGCAAGAAATGTCCCCCTGGGGGGATGGCTATGCCATAATCTTTTCTCCTCTATCCTCCTCTCGGGATTCTGGCACACATGCACATGTGCCTGGCATCAGTTTCAAGCCTCTGGGTCCAGTACTTAAACTGTGGTTGACTACGTGGGAATCCAGTGACGTAACCATTACGCTATCTGCTGGTCCTCCTTTGACCGAAGTATTTCAAATCCAAACCCAGATTATGCTCCTGCCATAGAATGGCTGGTAAAGATTCCAATTGTTTTAAAATTAAGAAGCACTATGGTGCTAAATGGTAGCCCAGCAGCAAAACATGATCCTCTGCTAGGCTAACCCACACGGGAAAGGCCCAGGTTCCCATATAAACAGGCCAACGGTCCAGTGTTGGCAGGGGCCAGAGGTCGATCGTGGTGAAGGACCTTGTTGGGGGGGGGGTCTCTCTCTCTCCCTTCTTCCCTCCCTCCCTCTGTCCTTGCTCATGGAGAAATAAAAATTATTATTTTTTAAAAAAAAAGAAATCAGTATAGAAGATTAAAGACAAAAATGATTTCTTAAAACAGAGATAAAACAGGAAAATGGCTCTTCGGGGAGAGGAAGAAATCTTTACTGGGAAGAAAAAGAATACTAGCTTTTATTAGTATATACGAGATGTAACCTCTCTGTCTTTCTCTTTCTCTCTCTGAACTGTCTTGTAATTCCCACCTCCGGCAGAGATAGGGAGAGACTGGTTCGTTAAGGAATGAGACGGCTGAGTGAGCTGGTGTGAAAGCACATTATGCTCAAAAGACCTGGTTAGGGAATAAAAATTTGCAGTAGAATTACTTCCTAGAGGATTCCACCATCTGCTGATGCTCTGAACGTCTGGAGCCAGTTTCAAGTCCCAGCTGGGTCTAACTCCAAAATAAGAGACACTGAGCTTCCGGGGCTGGGATGAGAACCATACTGAATTGGGCGGTAATTGAAGCCAGAATGGTGCTCCACGGCATCTGTGTCTGCTTTCTTTTGCTCTCAATCAGTGATCATCTTTTAAGTGTTGACACCAAGCAGCACAGTAAAACGGTAGTCTGTGTGAAATGAGTGTGTGTGTGTGTGTGTGTGTGTGTGTGTGTGTTTAAGATCTCTTTTTCTAATTGCCAGAGGGTGCACGTGCTCACCTGAGGTGGAGAGACAGAGAGAGGGAGAAAGCATCCCCCCACAGTGGGATGTGGTTATGGTCCAACCCCTTCTCCATTTCTCCATTTCGCTGGGGTTTGGGGCATGCACACACAAGCACCCGGCATGTTTTACAAGACCACAAGGGCCAAGAGTTGAATCATGCAGTTGACCTTGTGGGATCTGGCACCATTAATGACTAGACTAGGGGTTGGTTTAAGAATGTAGATTTTTTTAAAGAAGAAATCATAACTAAGTGGAAGAGTTGGTCAACTGAGTAGAGTCTTAGCTACTCAGACACAACCAAGCACTACAGATGTTATGTCTGTCTCGTACACTAAGACTCAAGACTGGCTGGCAGACAACACTAGTAAGATGTGATGCAATGATCGTCTGGCTGCAAACTCTGTTTTCCAGTTGAGCACCAGGTCTGACCTGGATAGCTGCGAGCCATCCTGCTCCTTCCAGTCTCGACACTGCACGTGCCGCTCGGTCAGGAGGAGGAGAGCCTTCATTGCCCACCGTACCCTCCTTTTTACTGCTTAAGGTTCATTTCTAGAAGAACCGGGAAAGAAAATTAGTGACTGCCTAGAAAACTGTCCTTTTGCTTTTATACATTATGCAAGCTAATTATTCACATAAGTAATGCTTCATTGAGCACCAGTATGTTAGAATGTGTTGAGTGAGCTGAAATCTCTAATTTGACTTGTGGAATTCAGGAATAGTTCCGTTGATCCTTGCCTACCATTGAAGCAGAACCTCTCATTTCCAAAACTGGCTGTTTGAAAGGGGAAAGAAGGAACAGAGAAAAACGAGGCAACGCCCATGTTCAAGACTCTGGGAAATCTAAAATGACACTGTCTTAATGAGCAGGCTGCTTAAGTGATTTTTTTTCTAGAGTTCTGAGAGTAATTACTATTCCTGGTACACTACTTAGGGAAGTCAGAGGAGGAAGAAAGTGAGGTACCCGAGTTTTAGCAGATGTTTCTCTCTAGTATTGATTGGTCTTTGCACACAGAGA